AAAAACTCATCAAAGAAAACCACAGAGCCATCAAAATAAGCACAGAACACAAAGAAAACAGAATTTGTCAAAACAGAACAGTCTGTAGCAATCTGATTTGTTCCAATACTTCTGGAACACCAAAATTTCTGAAAAACTAGGAAAACCTGGATAATTTGTATATTGATCTTCTGCAAAAAGAATTAGCATTTTATCAAGCTCTGTTGAATTTTAACAATTATTTTCGTGAGCACAAAGTTTCTGTCTTTTTCAGCAAGATCAAACAACTATCACCCAAGAAGATCCTATTGGTTCTACTTGGAACAAACAGTATTAAAAGATAAAAAACACAATCATAACAGTAGAATAATTGTGCTAACACTCAAGAACAGAAAGCAAAAAAGGCAAAAATAAATTTTATTCATTGGGTTGCCTCCCAACAAGCGCTATAGTTTTACGCCCTTAGCTAGGCATAAAAACAAGGATCTAAGTTTTGTCTTCCGAAGTTTTGGCAACTTTTGTAAGGGTTTTCTCAAACCCGGGAGGCTCTTTACGCTTTCTTAAATTCTCCGGAAAAGAAACCATCTTAAGATCCAAAATATCCAATCGCTTGTTGCAAAGAGTAATCAGAGTATTCATGTGATTGATACTACCATTGAGGTGTTTGAGGGGTTCATTATATTTATGTATTTCAACCATATGTTTATGAAAATCACCAAGTTTGTCCAGCATTTGAGCTCCCTCGGGGGTAAAATGAAACCCCTTCTTTTGAGGTGGAATTCCCAAAATTCCCTCTAAGATTTCATAGGCAGTATTGGCATCAAGTTCAATAAAATTTCCTTCAGCGGCAAAATTGAGAAGTTGTCTATGATGCAAAGCCAACCCTATGTAAAAATTACGAAGCAAAACCTTGGCGTCCCCCTTTAAGTTGGAAATACGATACGATTTCATAAGACTATACCAGGCATCTTTCAAATTTTCTCCTTGTCTTTGCTTGAAGTACAAGACTTCAAAGTCTGGTGACAAAGGAGGAGTAGGGACGCTAGCCATCGAGACTAGAAAGCAAGAGAACAGTGAATGGAAAAAGAGAGGCGAATAAAATGGCAATTTTTTGTTAAGTGGGGGATAGGAAAACGAGAGGAAAATGGCGAATAATGTAAATTGCAAGGAGATGAGATTTGCGATTAGGAACCTGGTATGTGTTGAAGATCCTCATTGCCAATGGCGCCAGAAATTCCTTTTGATGTCGCTTGAAGCTACGTCGGTATTTCCCCAAAGAGGAAGGGATGATGCAGCATAGCGGCGGTAGGTATTTCCCTCATAAATGAAACCAAGGTTATCGAACCAGTAGGAGAACCAAGCAACACAATGTAAACAGCCCCTGCACAAAAATAACAACACCTCGCAACCCGATGTTTTAAAGGGGTTGTCAATCCCTTTCGGGGTACGGCACCAGAAATTGCGTGATGACGGGAGAAAGTTGTAATAGATTAAATAAATAGATCACAAATAAAATAAAGTGCAACAAAGTATTTTTGTATTTTTGGTTTAATAGATCTGAATAAAAAGTGCAAATAAAATAGATCGCAAAGCAAATATATGAGAAAGAAGACCCTGGGGTCGTAGGTTTCACTACTGGCTTCTCTTGAGAAAAATAGCAAACGGTGGGTAAACAAATTACTGTTGGGAAATTGATAGAACTTCAAATAATTATGACGATATCCAGGCAATGATCATTACATAGGCATCACGTCCAAGAATTAGTAGACTGACTCCTGCCTGCATCTACTACTATTACTCCACACATCGATCGCTATCCAGCATGCATCTAGTGTATTAAGTTCATGGAAAAACGGAGTAATGCAATAAGAACGATGACATGATGTAGACAAGATCCGTTTATCTATATGGCGGTAGATATAGTTCTCGTCTTTTTATCCTTAGTAGCAACGATACATATGTGTCGGTTCCCTTTCTGTCACTGGGATCGAGCACCGTAAGATCGAACCCACTACCGGGCACCTCTTCCCATTGCAAGATAAATATAACAAGTTGGCCAAACAAAACCCAAATATTGAAGAAGAAATACGAGGTTATAAGAGATCATGCATATAAGAGATCAAAGAAATTCAAATAACTTTCATGGATATAAAAAGATATAACTGATCATAAACTTGAAGTTCATCTGATCCGAACAAACACACCGCAAAAGAGTTACATCATATGGATCTCCAAGAGACCATTGTATTGAGAATTCAGCGAGAGAGAGAAGCCATCTAGCTACTAACTACGGACCCGAAGGTCTACAAAGAACTACTCACGCATCATCGGAGAGGAACCAATGGAGGTGGTGAACCCCATCCGAGATGGTGTCTAGATTGGATCTGGTGGTTCTGGACTCTGCGGCGGCTGGATGAATATTTCATCACTTGTTCTAGTGTTTCTAGAATATTGTGGTATTTATAGAGCAAAGAGGCGGTCCGAGGGACAACCGAGGTGGGCACAACCCACCAGGGCGCGCCTAGGCCTC